CTTTTTAAAAGTGTTATGATGTATTAAAACTCGGACACTTTATTTCATGCTCTCTTCTTTGTTAATATTAATTTGATTGCTTCTTTTTATGGGTTTGGCATTATATAAGCTTTAGTGCTTAATAAATTGTAATCTTATCCATCTTCTATGTCAGATGGGTATGCTACTCAAAGATGATGGCAATCAGTCATATGTCATAGTCATTTCTTGTTCCTAGATTTGGCTAATGCACTCTTTTTTTGTAAACTATATTGGTGGTTTGTGCAGGCTATATTTAAGCCTCCAAAGGCTATCCGTGGAGGTATTCCAATCTGCTTTCCTCAAGTATGTCTGTCTCTTATGTTAACTAATAATATTTTGCCATTAAAATTATCTTTTCAAATTAAATTTATTGGCATATGCAGTTCAGCAATCTTGGTTCTCTTGAACCACATGGATTTGCAAGGACCAGGTTTTGGTCTATTGATAATGACCCCCCACCTTTCCCAACAAATAGCTCCAACAAGGCCTTCATTGACTTAATACTTAAACACTCTGAAGAAGATGTGAAGATCTGGCCTCACAGGTGCGTGACTCAAATTTCATTATGAAGTTTAATGCAGTTCAACATGTCTTTTGATGCATTACTTAAAACAACATTTGAAGCAAATTATTTGTTTCCATTTCAAAAAACAAAAGCAGGTAAAGCTTCATTCAGTATGATAGACAGTCTGTAATGTGATTTTTTTTGCTCAAGTTGGATCTAGTTTTACAGGGATAGATATTTTGTAATTGTATGGTGCATGATTGGAGCTTGTATAGTTGTATGCCTTGCAATATTAACTTATAGAAATATTTTTATATTAAGATATTGCATCTGTATATTTTTGGGCTGCCAGTTCTTCTAATTGCCGAGTGATGCGACATACATACAATTTATTTACAGATATGAATTTCGCCTACGGATAACTCTGGGTCCTGGAGGAGATTTGATGTTGACCTCTCGCATTCGAAATACAAATACTGATGGGAAATCTTTCACATTTACATTTGCGTACCACACATATTTTCATGTTACGGATATCAGGTTCTTTGACAATATTTATTTATTGCTGGCATCTTTAGGTCCTTTTTTTTGTATGCTAAGTAGTTTATTGGGTTTTTCCTTATTTTGCAGCGATTTTTAACTTTGTTCATTGTGTAATACTCTTTATCTTTTTCTTTGTAAAATCACCATTTTGAGTAGAAATGTCAATGCATAATTGATGAATTGAACAAAGTCATATTTTTTATTCTCTCTGTGATGGGTGGAAATATGATGATTACATCAGTGTGTTTTGAATTCTTTGTTGATTCAGTCACATGTTGGTTTTGTCTAGTGAAGTGAGGGTAGAAGGACTTGAAACACTAGATTATTTGGATAATCTGAAGAACAGAGAACGATTCACTGAACAAGGAGATGCAATAGTCTTTGAATCAGAAGTCAGTATCTGTTTTTCACAGAAATGCTGATTGTTTTCAGTACCCTTTCAGCTTCTATTCATACATATATTCTGTGGTACTTGTTTCTATTCATTTTTATGAAGGTGGACAAAGTATATCTCAGAACACCTACCAAAATTGCTGTTCTGGACCATGAAAGGAAGAGAACATTTGAATTGCGGAAAGATGGACTTCCTGATGCTGGTGAGTGAAAATTTTGTTTGCATGCATATCATAGTGCTAGGCCGCTAGCAAGCAATGTTGTCGAGACTCCATCGAGATTTGGGAAATGCATAACATTCTTATCTTGCTGCATTAGCTGCTATTGCTGTATGTTCATATGTCAAGTGTAAATGTTCTTCTAAATTTGTAATGGCTGGCATGCACCTTTGAAAGTTTCTCAGAGCTGTCAGTGGATTAGAGCTTGTAGTTTGAAATTTTATTTAGATTGTGTGATCCAAGGGTCTGCGGAGGAGAGCTCTAATTGCATCTTGTTAGAAGTCCCTTGTTTGATTTCCATAAACCGTGGTCTTGACATCATTAAATGACAGCATTCTTCTTTTTTGTGCTGTTTCAAAATAATCTTTGTTTCAAATGATTGAACACATGCTGTTTTGGTCATTTGTGGGTGAACTTGAACTAATTAAGTGTGTGTAGGAAACCACAAGTTTTCTGTGGGAACTTTGATTGTTCTCAGTCAATATAAGTAATTAAGTATGGTTACCCCCCCCTGCAGTGGTTTGGAATCCCTGGGATAAGAAAGCAAAGACCATACCTGATCTTGGTGATGACGAGTACAAGCATATGCTGTGTGTAGAGGCTGCTTGTGTGGAAAAGCCCATTACTTTGAAACCTGGTGAAGAGTGGAGAGGAAGGCAGGAGCTCTCTGCTGTTCCTTCTAGTTATTGCAGTGGACAGCTTAATCCAGAAAGTGCGATCTTAAGTGAGGATATAGGGCCTGCATGATGCACCTCTTTGACAGGTATGTAACTGAAGCCAAACCTTAAAATTGAAATATGTAACTCGTTTATCATTTCTTGGGAAGCAATAATGTTGAAAAGGGAGGATTGGCCGGAAAACTTGAGCATCTCAATGTCCTGAACATGAAGGGATTCACCTATCTTTAGGTGTAATGTTTACACCTGTTCCCCTGGTTTTGAAGTATGAGCATTTTGCATTATGCTGGATCTAGATTTGGTTCGTTGACGTATGAATGCATGCTTGTGCATGCATTTTTGAGTATTAGTCTTCTAGCACAATTTTGACTGTTGTATTTTTAGGCATGTTTTATATGGCGCAAAAATTATTGAAAGATATGAATTTTTAAAATTGACTTTGAATCTTGGTCCATCCTAATCATATTATATTTTCCTTTATTAATTCACGTGTTGCTCTAGAATTGTGCTCCTGTTCTTGTGTGAGAACTTTTTGTTTGATAGTTATAAACAAATTTTTGCAGTTGCTCTTTTGGCATTGTGCATTTAGCGCTTCTGGTGGATTCTTGCCAGTATTTTTGGAGGCAGGGTTCAAAAGGCTAAGGAAACGAAGTCAGTTGTGAAGATATCTAATTTGTATTTTGCCAACTTCGCTGACTTCCACTTAAAAGTAAAAGGAATGAATGGAAGAAGAGAAGGAAAGCATCTAGGTTTCATCCTCTTCTTTTAACCCTTTTTTCCTGTCTTGTTTTTTAAATGACTGCAATTGTTTTAGTTGAACAATAATATCCTTTGATTTATTGAAATTCTGTCTTTTATAATGAAATCTGAACTCTTGGCAATGCAAGTAGCAGAATTCTAGTTTCAGCTGAGTTGGTTTCGTAAATTCAGATACTTTGTGAGCCTTGTTGTTTCACTCTAAACTCATCAAAGTATGCACCTTTTCCATTTTAATATACGTTACATGAAAGCAAACATGAATAAGTTTCTGGTCTTGGCTTGATCATGATATATGAACCCAACTATGAGGAAACTTTTTTTTTCCCCTGATGAACAGCTTCAGTGATCCATTGATTTTGTTTACATGTCTGACAACAAAACTACCATCCAGATAACAAGCATTGTTCACGAGCACCTTTCTGGAGTGATTAGCTGCAATCTGGTTGATATATAGTGTTGGTTGTGGATGATTTCAAAGTAAATTTTGTTTGTAGCTTTCACATGAATGCTAAATATTTTGTTTCAAGCAATCAATACTGAGTCCCACTTGCTGTTTGTTGAGAACATCTCCCAATCTAATACAATTTCAATGATTGTCTGCTGCTCTTGTCGAAGTAAAGTTGGCTTGGCGGCTGACTTTGGAGGCCGACCTTCCACAGAATCTTCACTGGCCGTCAAAATTGATGCAGGATTAGTTTTTTAAGAGTTTTGACTCCAATAGGCATGCTCAGGATTGATGCACGACCCTCCAAGCTGGAAAGTGTGAAGGGAACAAGTGAATTGCTGTAAAAATAATATTTTTCTACCTTACAATGGATCTTCAATATTAAGATTGAACGCCAAATATTTGATTAAAAAATGTATCAAGATTTTTCAGTACTGAGGAAATACTAAAACATTTCCCTCCACCACTAATATTAGCATAACTATGCCTTGTAATTTGCAATTATGTGGTATTTTATAGCCTTGTGTATACCAACCATTTCTAATAGCCTTCTGCCTTGATTGTACTTTTGAAGTTTAATTTCTCAATAAAATAAAATAAAACAAGAAAGTAAAGGAGGAAGAAGAAGCATTGTTGTTAAATCCGAATTAGTCAGGTAGATAAATCCTAGAAATTCATAACTCAAACCAAAACATTGATTTGATAAAATATAATTAACTTAGTAAAACTCAAGGCATAACATAAAAAATAACAAAAAAAAATATTATTTTAATAAAAATATTAATCTAATAAACTATAAATAGATCAATATTTTTATTAAATAATAAAAATATTGTTCTAATAACTACATACTCTGCCAAAAAAAAGAAGAAAAAGAAGTAATGTTTACTTGCATTTTTATTGTGTTTGATATTGTTGAATAAAATATTTTTATTTTAAAATATATTAAAATAATTTTTTTTTATTTTTAACATCAATTAATTAAAATCTTAAAAAATTATTAGATAAAACATCAATTTAATATTTTATTAAATAAAATATACTTTTAAAATACATTAATAAACAAATGCACTTTAATATTGTGAAATTAAAAAGCCAAGTGTGTTAAGTGTTTATTTGGAAGTTTGATAAATATTGTTTTTTAAAATATTTTTTATTTTAAAATATATTAAAATAATAATTTTTTATTTTTTAAAATCTATTTTTAATATCAATAATAATAAAAAAGTTAATTTAAAACTTAAAAAATTTAAAATAAATTAAAAGCGTGATTGAGTTGCACCACCTAACATGACCGCAATAGCATATGCATTCCAAAACGGTGATGTTTTATTAAGGTTTATTTATTATTATTATTATTATTATTATTGTTATTGTTATTGTTATTAATGAGATTTCAATTCTTTATTTAATAAAAATAAAAATGTCACTCGAAAACCCAAAAAAATTAAAACAGAGAAAGAGAGAGGAAACCTTAAAATGAATTGAATTGAAATCCCAAAAAAATGTGATTTCTAGTGAGAGAAAGTGAAAGCAACGAATTATTAACCCAAGCTGCCAGCACTTTATACATAGTTTAGTGCAAGAGAGAAGATGGAAGCTTCTTAGCTCCCACTGCATCGAATTTGATTTCTCTCGGAGTCTGAAAAACTTTCCAGCTCAAAACAAGGTCAGACCCATAAAAAGCTCTCTCTCTCTAGAATCTCACATATTCCAAATCTCTCTCCCTCGGTTGTATTAATCATTTTAGAAGAAACCCATTATTTTAAGCTCTTTAGCTTTACTGGGTGATCTCTGGAAAATTGGAATTGATAGCTTCTCCTTGGAAAAGGAGGGGTTTTTGATAGAGTTTCGTTGAAGGTTTTCAATTTTTTTTTTAAGGGCAATAGGGGGTTTTGTTTGATTGTGAAGTTCGGGGTTAGCATGACTAGGGTTTGGGTTTATTTTGTAAAACTTAAGTTTTGGGAGGGGAAATTGTAGTCTTTTTTCAGGGTTTGTATTAGAAGATGTGTTTTGTAATGGCATTGATGGGTTTTGTTGAAGTCAATGCGGTTTTTCTTCTAGGGTTGTGGAAAATGGGATTTTGGAATGGAGTGAAATAACCCTGATTTAGATAGGGGTTTTGGGTGGAACGGTGATTTTTTTATAGTCTTTTGTGTATTTTTTTGTTGTTGACTATGCGGTGAGAGAAATGCAACCGTCAACTCAGCATTCGCGGGTGAATCTCGTGGAGTTGAAAGTTCAGATAGTGAAGACAATTGGGGCAGAGAGGTCGAAGTTGTACTTCTATTATTTGAATAAATTTTTGAGTTTGAAGCTGAGCAAGGCTGAGTTTAATAAGCTCTGTGTTCGTGTTATTGGGAAAGATAATGTGCTGATACATAATCAATTTATACGTTCGATTTTGAAAAATGCTTGTAATGCCACTGTCCCACCGCCACCACCAAGTCGTGATAAGGAGGTTCCTACATCTGCAAGTGATGGGTCGTATTCCTATCCAAATGGGAATGCGGATCTTGCTTCTCATTATTCAACAGTTACAGATGATAATATAGCCCCAGAAGATGGTATACAGAAGCTGATGCAGCATCATCAAGAAGGGGAAGTTTTCCACCGCCCTGCTAAATTACCACTAATAAAACAGTCAACAGATGGTTTAGTTTCTGTACATAGTAAAGAACAGAGTGAAATATCTGAGATATCTACTGTAACTCCACTTCAGGCACCACTTGGAATTCCATTTTGCACTGTGAGTGCAGGTGGTTCCCATAGACCCTTGACTCTAGCAAGCAAAGATAGATGTGCTAGCTCATATGATAGTGGTGGATTGCTGGATACACAGACGCTAAGAGAGCGAATGCAGCAACTCGCCACAGCACATGGCCTTGATGATGTATCCATGGACTCTGCCAGTTTACTGAACAGTGGCTTGGATGCTTACTTGAAAAGGCTGATCAAGTCCTGCATTGAACTCATTAATAGAAAGCATGGATGTGATTATTCGACAAAAAGTAATTCCCAGAAGAACCATTCTGAGAGTAAGCATGTTAATGGTTTTCTGCCTGGTCATCATTTTCAGGTGCAGAGTAGCAATATGATTTTGAATGGAACACAAGAACAGAGATCCCATTTCCCAATATCGTTACTGGATTTCAAGGTTGCAATGGAGCTTAACCCACAGGAGCTTGGAGAAGACTGGCCCTTGCTGCTGGAGAAAATATGCACGCACCCATCAGAAGAATAAAGTGCCGGAAAAAAATTGTGTTTGGGATGTGATTAATTTGGTGGCTGGTCTAAAGGAGCAGATTAACATGCATGCTTGGTTAACAATGCTGCAGTCAACTCCTTTTCATATTCTTGTGAATTAGTTTCCTGCCCTTGTCATACAACTCTGCCTCCATCAAGGTAAATTTGAGCAGAGCAAGAGATTCTTCAGCTATAGCTTCCCTTGATCCTGTGTACCGCGTTTTACAGCAACCAATCAAAAGGTACTCAAAGAAAAGAATGCCCTTGCTTGGTTGCACTGCTGTATTCTTAACTTAGTTTTTCTGCTTTTCTGTAATTTAAAGTTCAGAGAAATTTTTAGAAACAGTTTTGCAGGAATAATTTGTCTAGCTTGTTAGGAAGGTAAAAAACTGCACGATGTAAAAGTTCCTGTACATGTATTCCCTACAGTAGAATTGTCGGGGTCCTGAATATTAACAGGTTATCAATTGCTGATTGTCCTTGCTGATTTTAATATGAACGGTGAATTTAGTTGTTGGCTTAATCTCCCCTTTGAGCTAACAAAATTCCTCTCTTTTTGGCATTTGATACTAAAATGTTCACACATGCGCACACACATTAAATCTCCAAGTACTACTTGTTTGATGTTTCCCGAATTATGATCCTGAAGTTTCTTCATTTATGTCTCTAATATTCCACAGGAGTGGCACCTCACTGGTTTGGTATAACCTAACATTTTTACTATTACGGAAATTTTTTCAAATTCAGTTGAACTTCTTGGAGATTTTTGTGTATGTGCAGGGAAGCTACTTGATTATGATAGTATTTGGAATTGCGTTCTCTCAAATTTTAATTTTTTTAGGTTAAAAATTATGTTTTTTATATTTTTAAATTATTTTGATGTATTAATTTTAAAAATAATTTTTTTAAAATAAAAAAAAATATTATTTTAATGTATTTTAAAATGAAAACATTTTGAATTACAATCATTATTGTAATCTCAAACTCACTGTAAATATCTTTTGGCATACCTTTTGGTTGTAAGAAGTGGAAAGGCAAGGAGTTTAATTTTGATACAGCCACTTTATGGAGACTGAAGCTTAGGTGTCAATATAGATCAACCATCAAAGGGCCCTGCTTTATTGGACCAACACTGGCCAATACCTTGTGTTTTTGCCTGGCTGCAAGGAAACATATTGTTCATTCAAACCCTAGCGATAAGCTCGATTACATGAAAAAGAAGAAGACACTCTTGTTTGTGCTTGAGACACTTCTATCGTAGAAATGAGCTTTCTAATATGGACACTGCCGAATGGTTTCCATTTGATGACGCTCTTGTTTGGAGTTATTGTCTATCAGAGACCCATTGGTGGCCTATACATGGGGAGTCCACCCAAGGGACTTCCGACACCTGCCTCATAGTTCATGATGGATTTCATGGACTCGAAGGTTAAGTGAAAAATATGTGCTCTTTAACTTTTGACATATTGTTTGCTAGCACGTGTCACTTTATATCCAATATATCATATTGTCATTGTAGAAGAGCCCATTTGCATATTATTTCATAGATATCAGAAGAACCCATTTGCATGAGATATGATACCCTAGTCCTTTTCTGCAACCATGGCTAGAATCTAGGCTTTCTTGAACTCCCCTTGTATGCCCATTTAATTATTATCTGGCAATTATGATTTTGCCCGCTACCTTTCTTCGAAAGTAATTTTTAACAATCAACATAACCATGGAATCCGTATGTGTTTGTTTTTGCATTGCATATTTGTGCTGTGTAAATCTTCAGCATATGAAAAATTCCTTGCAGTGACATAATGGCTTCAAGAATTCGACCCAGAAGATTTGAACCTTTTCAACTCATATTCTCTGTTTGTAAGCATCGTATCGTTTCCTTTTGCGTTTCCTCTGACATTTCATAGATTGAAATCAATGAAAAGTTAGAAGAAAGTGATGTTTTCTTTCTAAATTTCTTGGCGTTATAGTTTCTCAGTTAGCATTTAATGATACTGATATCTCACACAGGCTAGGAGTGCAGGATCTAGGCAGTGACAAAACTCACCGAGAGGCTGTGAGCTTTAACGTGAAACAATACCTTTTGAAGAGCCAGCCATGTAGCGGATCCAGGTCAACAAATCAACATCTTTCTTGCAGGGAGGAAAATGATGATGGTCTACTGAAGTTTAATCAATTCCATTCGCGAACATGGTAATGATAACTGTGCAAGAAACTGATAGTTTCCTTTTCTCTATGTTTGTTATCTAACGTCTCAAGTTCAGAAATGCAAATCATGTTATATGGATTGTTAATCATGATATAGATTGCTTTCATAAATACAAACCAGAGAGTTCAAAAGCTCTCTGGCTTGTGTATAATGTCTCCGTCTGTGTTTTAGCATTCGGCTTCCCCTATTGATATAAATGAACAGATGGAATCTCTAGTAGTTTTCGTACTGTCATTCGTTATTAAGTATTGGTGGTAATTTTTCAATGACATGCTATGGATAGGGAAATTGCTTGTCAACGTTCTCACATTGGATTGCTGCTTGTTCTACCACATTATCCTCTCTCCCAGCTTTGCTTGTGGTTACTGTGAAGTACATCAATGAGTAAACTGAAGCTCATCGAGGAAGTTATTTCATTTATCGTTGTGGGTTATGACAAAACATTGTGTATGTACAGAAGGCACATATCTTATATACTGAGTTGGATACCCCAGCAACAGCTCTGTACCATGCTACTGCAATGACGGCCGTTGGATAGTAAAACTATGAATGCCCCATGTCAAGTTGCATGACAAAGGCAGCATATTATTCTTGATCAAGCAGGAGTCCTTTATCAGGACTGATTTGCAGAGAAGGATGAGGCTGCACTGTGATTAGACCAAACAAAAACTCTCCAAAAAGGCCGTTGCTTGCGCTTTGGAAGACTTGCCATCAGCTCAGATTCCGATCTCCTTAGTATTTCCCACATCACTTGCACATCCTCATATCCACAGGTCTGTATATCATTATGAAGCTCCAGAAGACCAGCACCTGCACAAAACATAGAGGAGAAGAACTTGTGAGTAGTTTCCCATTGAAAACATGTATTTCCTAATGCTGAAGAGTAATCATAAATGAAGTCGTGGCCCAATTGTTCGACCATACAACAAAAAAATTAAATGACATTAATCATCTGACACGCCAAGTGGCTGGGTTATAAAACCAGTAAGATCTCGGTGGTGGTCCAAACTCCTAGTACCAAAAGGACCAGGGAGGCGACAGGGACCATTTAGGAGCTGGAGGACACATTTGCCCACTAAGCTGTAACTAGAAAAATAAATTTGCTGCTGTCAGGCCACTACTGAAGTGACCTAAGCATAAAATTGAACTAAAAATGATGTTGATCCTATAGCTAAGCCTCATCTTTCGGTTGATGATGTTTCCCAGAAGATATTTGGATGTTTGTTTATGCTGTTAATCCCCGAGTTGGATCTCTAGCATTTGATATTATACTGTTCTATTATATTAGTTGGCCAGTACAAGAAACTAGGCAGTTGACAATTCCCTATCATTTTGATGGTAGCCAGTGGATTCAGCCTAGTGGTTCTCCGTTTGGGAAGGTGATGGCGGCTGAGGTGCTACCTGCGTTCAGCATTTCTAAAATAAAAAAGCATCAAATAATGCTTTTCATTCTGAAGACACAGGTTACAGTCTCTTGGCCTATACATCCTTGGTGTCATTATATACATGCTCGAATAGAAATAATAATTTGAAGATTACTGCAAAGTTGTGCAAGATCAATATATATATAAAAGGACACCTTGATTAATTGATACGCATATATATTTTTTTATTAGCTTAGAGTTCATTTTTTGATGAATAAATCATAAATCAATAACTTCATCCGGGGAAAAAGAAAAACTGTTGAAGTAGAAACTTCAAATTAATGCCTTTCTTGTTTGTGAATTAAAAAAAAAGAAAAATCAAAATGCTTTGTTACTATTAGTTTGGTTCAATGGTTGGAAAAGGCTTCCATAAAGTATTTAATTTCCCTTAATTCTTCTCACCTAACACACATTTTTAGACTTTTCCAAACTGGTAATAATTTATCATGATTCTTAGAGGCGAGGATGATTTTATTTTCTTAATTATGAAAGCATAATTGCTTGATTTGACAATTCTGTAATGTTGAAACAGTTTCAGATTGTCTTCAAGTGGATTTTTCTTGGTGGATTTGTTCGTCACAGATGGAATCTTCAAGTGCTGTTTTCTTCCTGACCTCAAAAAAATGGAACTAAAATTTTTAAAAATAATTAATCAAAAAAATAATAATTCAAGAACAAGCTTTCTAGCAGCTGTGAGCTACTAATCACCTCAATTAACACAAAAGGTTGAAGTTTAATTATGTCAATCATGTATCTTGAATATTATTTATTTCCAAGCATTTAATTTAGGGTATTTTTAAATATATATTTCTCAATTCAGCTTAGCATAGGCTTCAATTTGACAACAGTGACATGACAGAAAAAAAGAGAGTATAAAGCGTCAAGAAATCTTTGAATGCTAATCTTCAGACCATACGATGGATAAGCGGGAAAGAAATTATTGCAGAGAAGAAAAACCCCACTGAAGCAGATGAGCACACAGTGATCTAACTAGCTAGCTAACTGGCTAGAGCATGTAAATAGTTTCTGCAAAAAAATTCTAGCTTATAGATTGCCAAGATCACAGCTAACGTGACGCCAAAAAACCAATAAGAAGCTGCAGATTATGAGATTATATATATATATATATATATATATGAGAAGGAAGGGAAACCAGGGAGGGGGCTGACCATTTTTGCGAGCTCTGAGACGAGCAGAAACAGCAAGCCAAACTCTTCTAACAGGGAAGATCATCTTATGCAGCATATCCACCAACTTATCTTCAACTTTAATTTTCTTTTTCGCTTTCCTTCTCCTACTGAACCCACCAACAACTCTCACAGCTATGCTCTTTAACCCGGCCAGACCTTTCACTTTCTTTCTCTGTGAATTGTGTTTTTTTCACTCTCAACAATCACCACAGATATTTATAACACAGTCTGTGTCAAAGAGAAGGACAGAGAGGTTTGCTTCTTTAGACCTGGCTGGCTGGCTGGCTGGCTGGGAGAGGCTTTCAGAAGAAGATCAGAGTTTTTCTACCATGGTGTGTAATTTATCAACGTGCACCGACAGGTGACGGCATCTTATATGGAGGTAATGAGCATTTGGCCAAGTTGCAAATTAGCACGAATTTATTGTACTTGTTTAATTTAATTAATTAATTAAAGACTAATCTAGTCATAGATCATTAGATGTTCCTGTGGGCTCCTTTCTTTTAAACGTTTGATTTCAAATTTTCTTTGATATTTTGTAAGCATTAGTGCCGGTTTAATACCGTGGTAGCTGATGCTTTTTTAATTATTTTTTAAAATATATTAAATTAATTAATTTTTTTTTATAATTTCGATATATTTATTTTCTTTATATATACATAATACTTCTTTTCTGTTTCATGAAAAATCTAAATTTTAATAGCATATTTTGATGGCTTAAAGATACATTTTTTTTTTTAAATTGGCAACAAAACATCAAATTATTAAAATAGCACATTCCTTCTTTTGTTTTAAAATATATTTAGTATTATGATGCATAATATTTTTTAAAAGTATTTTTTATTTAAAAAATATATTAAAATAATTTTTATATCAGCATGTTAAAAATATACTAAAAATATCAAAATAATATGATATTTTTAAAATATATCTAAAAATAAAAACAATCCCCGTTCCAAACGTAATCTTTATACAGCCATAATAATTTAAAACCTTGAATTTAAGGAATTCTTTTTAAAAATAACATCTTAACTATCAAATCAACATTTTTAAATTAAAAATATATACGATATTCTTCTCTTGCTAACAATTAATTCGAAGGCAACACGTGGTGCAAGTTGTATGGATTATTTGAGTTTATATGATATCAATTATTCAATTTATAGATTTCTTTCTTTTGTGTTGCTTAATTGACTTGGGCATTGAAACGTGTCAAGATTTGAGTGAAAAGTCCAATTAGATACTCCGCAGGGGGTGGTTTGACAATTTAAATTAAGAATCACGGTGAAAGGCCGCTGCACTGTCAGAATTTGTAAATTATAACTTAGCCCGTTATTTTCTAGAAACTAACAACTTAGTCATATAAATTCATAAAAATTCACATTTGAACCATGTGTTTTCTTTAGCTATGACCATAATCGTTGATATTGTTTTCGATTTTTTTTTATTTTAATTAGCAACATTTTTGGATACCATAAAATCCCAATATTTCTATATATTTGAAAGTTTCAGCGTCGACATCCTTTTTATTAACTTATATTAATATATCTAATACATGATCTAATTCTTGAATCAGGACTTTGATTATATCATTACATATATAAATCTAAATCTAGAGGGAAAAAAATTATTTATTTCATATTATATAATTACATATATAAATATAGAGGGAAAAAAACTATTTCTTTGGTTGATATTCTTGTGATATATAAAAAATATTTTAAAAAAACTTGAGTGAACTGTAAGAGAAGTAGCACTCACCTTTTTTTTATATTTTTTTCTTGTAGAACAATTACTCTTTTGTGAGAAAAAATATATTTATATGCCGTAGCATGGAAATAAATAAAATACTATTCTTTGTTGTTTTTATGGTTGAGGAGTCATCATCTATCATGGTTTTGTAGGTCAGAGTATGTTAGATATCCCTCAAGTCTCGTGAATTTGATAAATATCTCTTTCTATTATTATTTTTTATTATATTTCTTTTCTCTCTTATTTTATAATCAAATAATTCAAGATTCACTATAGAAAACAAAAGGCACAAAAATTGCTTATGCTAATAAAAACGATTTGTCTGTTTAAATTATCTTTTTTGTTTTAAGAATGTAAAATAAAAAAATTATCATTTTTTAAAATCAATAGATTAATTTGATATTGATAAAATATATTTGCTCGAATTCAATTGAAATCATTATCAATCAAAATCTAACGAGATAAATTTAGTATAATTTAATGATTGTAGATCGAATAATTGATATAATTTAACTCTAATTTTGTTAATTAAATAAGTTTATTTAATTGTATAAACCAAAGAGAAAGAGGATTTTCCCTTGCTAACATTTTGAATTTAACCATAATTAATTATAATTAAACATGAAATTAACTATAATTATGTTTAAAAAACTGTTTAAAAAGAGGGATTAAATCGCAATATTAAACATAGCCTTATTAGGAACTAGTTTATATTAAAATACATGAATTAAGTAATAATTAATTTACCTTTTCAAAACAACAACAATAATAATTAAAAACAAAACAATAATTAAACATAAGAATCGGCTTTTGTAGATTTAAAGCCGACAAAAAGGAGCAGTGTCGGCGACGTTCAAGTCCATCTGGTTAATCAAAGTATGGATATGGTGTGAAAAAGATTGGTCACCTTAAGCTTAATTTGAAAAAGAAATCGCTCCCTCCAATCACGTTGCGACATCTAATTATTTTCATAGGATTCTTTTATATTTTGACCCACATCCCTTTCTTTTCTTAACTGGCAACCATTTGTCTGTTTTCCCTTTATTTCTTTTTTGTGTTCTTTATTTTCTCTTTTTATTTCCTTGTCTTTTTTTATTATTTTTTTTCAAATCATGTTTTTGAAAAAAATAATTTTTAATTTTTTTAATTCTTAAATTATTTTTATCAAAAAACTATCTCAATATATTAAATAAAATTTTAAGATAAAATTTATATTATTTTCTAATATATCCTGAAGTGAGGGTTTTTTAATTTAAAACTTGCAGTACATAGATTGTTAACATCAAAAGTTAAAAAATGCAAATTCTTGCAATATTTGATGTTAAAAAATAAAATTCTAGTTTCAAGCTCCACAAAGTTTACACTCCACCTTTCCATTACTCCGTGGGATGCCATACTTATGGTGACCGAATTATATTGAAACACAAAAGGAAAAAAATAGATATATAAAGAGTGCGTTTGTTTTTGTAATTAAAAATTATTTTTGAATTAATATTTTTAAATTTTCTTGATGTAATGTTGTCAAAAAATAAATTTTAAAAAATAAAAAATATTATTTTAATGTTTTTTCAAATAAAAAAACATGTAAAAATACTTTATATTTTAATAAATAATTTTTAAGATTTTATATTTTAATCATTAATCTGAAAGATGTTCTCATGCTATATATTAGCCGTATGTGTTCATGCTAGCTCTTTTATTTTTTAAAATAATATTTTAAAAAAGCTTAGGATAAAATTGTTGTCTTTCTAGTAATATTAATATCAAATAAAAGACATGTGAAAATAAAAGATGGATAACTCATTTTAGAGGTTATTTTTGTTAATAAATTATTTTAACTTAATAATTTAAACTATCAAGTGAAATTGTAAGATATATTTTATATTATTTTTAACATAATTTTTAAGTGAAAACATTTTGAACTTAAAATTTATATAGATTTATATTATTTTATATATAATTTTTATCAAATAAATAAAAATAATAAGATTTAAATTCATAACTATTTGATAATTAAACTATATTAAAGAATTATTTAAATTTAATATTTTAAATTAGAATATATTTTATATTATTCTGGGAGTAATTAAATAATTGGCATCCGACCATCGTGTCTGTTTCGTCAAGTCCAACAAGGTGAAAGAATGATGGCAGTGGTGGGTGATATCTTACTCATAATCTGGAATAATATTATATAGTATAATTCACCTAATTAATCCTAACCACAATGCCCCCAATTGTCAATCCTTGGTGGTCCATATGTCCCATCACCTTTAACCTCATCAATCCCAATCTTTACACCATTTTTTTTTCTTCGAAGAAAACTTTGATGATCTAATTTATGAGGCTCTAGTTGAAATTATATATTGACCATTTCCTTTGTTTTTCAACTTGAAGCATCGTTATTAATAGCGTCGGTTTCACGTATGGTAAGTATTGTTTTTTAATATATTTTTTATTTTAAAATATATTAGAATAATATTTTATATATTTACTTTTTATTTTTGATATCGGTTCATTAAAAAAATTTAATAATATATATAAATTATTGATTTAAAATTATTTTTTAAAAAAACATGGTTGGACTATAATATTAAATAAAAAATATATAAAGTAATTTTTACAGTTACGGTTTGAAAAGACAGATTTAAAAAAACACCATAAATAATAATAGTATTTTCTTAACCAAGACTTCAAGAAAGAGTTTCCACCTAGAGCATATAAAACTATAACTGTGTATTAATTAATTAAATATTTTTAAAATTGTAGTTAAATAAAATGAAATTTCAACCTCAATCACTTCACATTTCTAAATGGATTCTACAACTGGGTGCATATAAAATTGTTTTTTTATTAAAAAAAAGCAGGTTTAACTTTAATTAAAATCTAATCTAATTTTTTATTTTTTTAAAATGAAATAGTTTTATGTTTTTATTTTTTTTAAATAATATTATTTTAATTGATCCAAAATAACCAAAATAAATTCACTCAATCACGTAGCAAGCCGAATTTAATATCTTTTATTTGAAATAATTTTTGATGAAGAAATCGATTGTGGGGAAGATAAAAAAAGGTGAGGGGAACCATTTGGGGGTGCTGCTGAATGATGATCTAGAAAGGAAATTGTCGAACTACAATCATGATATTTAACGTGAGAACCAAAAGCTGAATTGATTGTTGAGAAAAATATAATTTTATTTTATTCTAATTTTATTTTATTTTAGATAGAGGCCCACATGTCCTTATAAATTTATTTTAGATAGAGGCCCACATGTCCTCATGATAGAGACTAATTTGTCATTTGATCTTCCTTTTATTTTTTAAATGGTCAGGCTGTTCCCGTGCTCCACGAACAGGTTTTTTTTCTCTTTATTTTCTGTCCGAGAATATACTTTTTTAATATTTCTTTTAAAAAAACATAATAATTCATCTATCTATTATCTAACTCAACTCCAGTGCTTCATAAGTGAATGACCCCAGAATACCATCACTTAAAACACATTTTTTAAACTGTTAATAATCTCAACAATATTGTTTAAATAAAGATATAATCTTTATTTTTTTTAAAAAAAAAAACGAGTAGCAGTCCTGTTTATAATGTTAAGATATTAATTACCATACATTAAAAAAAAATTAAATTGAACTCTTTATAATTCAGTATTTTTTATTTAACATTTGCCAAAATTAAAATGTTACAAAACATTTCGATTTCATCATCACAAGCTAGGCATGAATGCTAATAATTCTCTATGTTCTTCACCTTTTTTTTTTTATATATATAGAAAATATACTCTTTCAAGTTACTTTTGAAACAAGAAAAAGCAAAACAATAAAAGCTAAAGATTTTAGATTTAACTTAAGGCGTAAGAAAGCGTTAGATTCAAGTCTTATCTTTAGATTAGCTTGTGAAATTTCTAATTCCTAATGGTCTTAAGGTATAGAGTTAAAAGAAAAAAAAAAGTATTCTCCTTGATCTAAAGATTAGCATGACAAGATGTAGTTGGTGTATATTTGGTATTTTTCCAAGAAAGTGTTTTTGTGGAAAAATGTATTAAAATAATTTTTTTATTTTTTTATTTTTAATATTAATATATCAAAATAATTTTAAAAAATTAAAAAAATTATTTTAATATTTTTTTTCGAGGCAATGATACTTTTAAACGGAGAAACAAGCCCGGAATAAAAAGAATAAATTGTGAGGTCTAAAAAGAATTTACGGATGTCCAATCACTTGTAAATATAAAAGAAAAAAAGGGTTAAGAGATAGTTGTAGGCTAAGCATGGTGTAGAATAGAGTCAACTTAGCATCATCATTCCCCTTTCCATGTTGGGTGTATTCTTTGGTAGAATGATGTGCAGCAAAATGGAAGAGCACAGAAGCATTCTAACATGGGTAATTTGAGCACCATGGAAAGAGAATGCTTCTATCACAATAGCAACAAAGCACAAAAAGCTATGTGCTTACTCAAGATATGCCATCTCAACCAACTATGTTCATCTGAATAATTAACTTGATCGATCAACCTGCAGGACCACATTTTGTAGGGTAATATTATATACCAGACCCACCCCTTGATCGAAGAACCCTACTGTTTCAACCCTCCTCTCGCGTTTTTCTCTTACAAAATTATCAGGCATGATTCTGATCCCGCACATGCTTTGCAGCCCCTTTTTCCAAATTCAAGACCAATAAGAGAGGACAAGATACACACCAGTACCAGTGCTTGTCCCTCGTTTCTTGGCTTTATTTTGCCCTAGCAAGTTAATCCTTGTATTCCATCCATGGCACTGGCATATTTCGATTTGGACTCCATTAGAAGGGGCCCTAGGAATATCCAAGTGACAAACTCACTGGTTACCTTTGCTTTTACAAGAAAGTGGCTATTTTCAGATCGATAAACTGTTTGAGTGGGTGAGAGTTGACAAGTTTCGGCCCTCCCTAAATGAAGCATTGGATTCTGTGATTTGTGGATAATCTGGATTGTTCCTGCCACTAAAACTGATCAAAAGAATATAATGTTCAACACCCTTATCTTTAAGAGATTTGCTTATGGTGGAAACAACTGAAAAGGTGGATGGATGATCTGTCTTAGGTTAGTTACATCATGGTTGACACAAGCATGGAAGCTCTTGGGATGATGATCATGATCATTTCATGTGCTCGATTGAATGAATTAGGGCCTAAAAACTCGAGATGTTTTAAGCTTTTCTTTTGAAACATTAATTTAGATGTTCTTTAGAAACAAAACAAAGTAATAATACTTCGGTTCTTTTTTTTTTTAAATAAAAAACTGAAGTCAGAAAATGTAAAATTCAAACCTCCTATTTAAATGTAATATTTCTTCATCCAAAACTGAAAAACTTGTTTTTTTAAATCTATACAAGTTAAAAAAAAGAAACTCAGATTTTAAAGCTTATCCACGTTCTTCTTTACAAGTTTTCACTGTTTTTCAAATGAATAAAAGATATATACATATCTTAGTTGAAAAATATTTCTATTTGTTGTTGTTAAAAAACTTTATCTTCGTTTTTAATATACAAACACGCTTTTCAATTTTTTGTTGGAAAAGAAAATCCAGAAAATAAAAAGAAAAAAGAAACGAAAAAGAAGAACGGTTTTTTTTATTACTAAACACATCCTAAGACATTTTAAGAGGCAATGGAATGCTTTAAGAGAACGACAGGTTTATACTAGTAAAAACTACGAGGCAAAATGGATAGGAAGGAACCTATGATGGAGCTCTTCAATCATGCCTCTCTCTTTGATGCTGCCATGGGCTACTTTCGAGCTACGTTCTGTTCGAGGCTTTTCTTGTTTTCAACAAGTTGAGAAATTTTCTTGTATCATGGCTGGGCCAGACTTTTCAAGGAAGCAAAGAGAAAACTAACAGCAAAAATGACCACGCAACATCTTTTTAAACTCGTCTGATATATAAATCCATTCCTGCAATTTCCTTCCTCCTTTCTAGTCGTCAATGTTCTTCATGTTACTCCTCTGTTTGGTATTGTGGTATACTGGTATGGTTGAAGATGTTTTATGCTCTGACCACAGCTTCAAAAGTTGTCTGGTTTTCATTGCTTACACCGGCTTTTCATCTTAAATTGCGGTAAAAACTTGGGTTTGAGAAATGTTGTAATTTGCAGCTTTTTTCAAACCTGCCTTTTCAAGCCACAATCGGAAAAGCCATCACTATACCAAACACTGGTGAGTATAATTAGCTGGTGCTCTTTGATGAGAGAGTATCCTGATTCAAGCAAAGCCTCCACTTTTGCTGCAACACATGAAAGAACTACTTCACGCCTTCATGGTTAGCGAAAGATAGAGCGGTGAAAAGCAGAGAAAAGGAGTAGGAAATGAAAATAAGAGGTTATTCCGCTAAAAACTCAATGCTCCGTACTCCTTGCCCTCTATTACTTGTTACCAAGATTTTGTGGATGTAAATAAAGAAATTCGATTCCTATACATACATCTGGAGGAGTAAAGAAAGGAAGTTTCTCGTCCTTTCTTCGCTGGACAAGTCTTTTACCAAGATTTTCTACACCTTCAATATCATCAACCCACTGCAATGGAAATCAAAGAAGAAATTTGGAAGTATACATATAACTTGACTTGTCAATGCATATAATAATATGCGCGGTTTAATTTCTTCAGAAAAAATAAGTTAATATTTTCATTTCTCATCTCTGTAGCATCTAAACAAGAAGAAAACTGGTAGATTTTTTCCCATTTCTCAATTCCTTCCATCATCTTATCCCTCTCTCCAGTTTCCTGTCTCAAAGACAACCTCAATATCAACGTTTTATAGTGTGACCTAATGCCCTCAAACCACTTTCCTACCTAAGATACAATGGGTCAGGAATGACTTACCACTGGCAAAAAACAGGACTTCAATGTGATGGACAAGCGTAAACTTCCTTCTGCACCTGCTGATATGCTCCTTCCCACTGACAGAAACGGGTCTCATGCTTTGTTCTATACATGAGTTTTGTACCTCATTATCCTTGTATCTCTTCTCTTGCGAATACTGGTGTATTTGTATATTTTTCAGAGCTCAAATCAAACAAAACATATCTGCCCTCCATATCGCATCTTCCAAAACATGTATCCAGTAAGTAGCAACAGAAGCACTGGAAACACAAGGCTGACAGGAAAGCTAGAATGAAGAGTATAGCGTCAAAACTTTCATGAAGGAACTGCTTTGGAAATTTCATTACATTACTTCTGTCAACTGCTTTAGCCTTTACTAGAAAATTTAGCATACTAAAGCACGTTACAAAACTTCTTATCCCACAATTCGTTGAAACATGTGCATAGGTGCAAGCTGTCAAGACTTCAAATGAAAGTCAAATACCTTGGAAATTGACCTGTCACATATTCGGGACCTAAGAGCTCCATAGAAATCCAACACTGCAAAAGAAGATGGTAAACAAGTCAAATCATGCATATTTTTTATGTTCTGTACCACGGAATCCATGAAGAAAATGGAGGTACCTTGATTAGGAAATCTGTTCACAATGCTCACAACCTCATCTCAGGATATGCCATCCTTCTCAAACATTCTGTCAACAATACTTACAACATCTTCCCAGTTAGGCTGCCTGCAAAACATAAAACCAATATTTCTTGATGTGAAAAATACAGTTCAATCACCTCCACGAAATCTCTGTATTGCAAAAACACAGCATTGCTTGAAACAAGCAGCAGTAATTTGTTTTAAGTGGGTGCATTATGCAAGCAGCGTGCGCCAGCATGTAGTAGTATGTTAGCCACATTCAACATCTACTAACTGGATTGTGTTTCAATATAAAACAACCTGAACTCATAGTATAACATGAGACATGCCTATTTATGAGCGCATTGTGTATGTGCATGAGAATGCACTTGAATTTGTGTGTGAGGACAATGCATGTAGAACTTCAAAAGCAACATGACCATGCGCCATATTTTTAAACTCATCTGATAAACTAGTCCATTCCTGCAAACGCAGCAGACTGAAACAAGGAATTCATCCATTCTTGTCTTCTCTAAATTGAGACGCTGCAATTTCCTTCCTCCTTTCTAGTCATCAATATTCTTCATGTATTCCTTAGAAAGTAAGGCTCCGTTTGGTATTGTGCAGGTACGGTTGCGCTTGGAGATGCTTTTAGGGCTAACCATAACTTCAAAAGTTGTTCGGTTTTCATTGCATAAACTTATTCCATCCCAAATCGTGATAAAAACTTGAGTTTAAGACAAGCAACAATTTCAGCACATCATACATGTCACCCTTGCACAAGATAAACAGAAGCACAAGCCACTTCTTTTATCATCTCTGGCAATGACCCGGAAATATCCAAGAGAACTACGATACTAACGACTAGGCATACAGGAACTAAGCTAAGACAAGAACAAAGAGGGAAAATAGTTAAGGTAAATTACCAAGAACGAAGGAGCAATTTAACAATCGCCTTGAAGATACTCAAAAAACTGTCACTTTTTGACGGTAATCAAACACAATATCAGCCGCAATTAATAAAATACCCACAAAAAAATGAAGGATATGAATTAATTCTCAATGAAGCTCTGCTAAATGTTGAGCAACAAGAATGGTAAGAATGCAGAAAAACCTACAGTCTTTGCCCAGTAAATCGCCAGAAAAAAGAGGATCTATAACACCAGCCCTAGCTCCAACTGCGATGTTCACACTATCAGCTTCTTTTCCTAGCCAGTAAAGATAGTCTTTCCCTCTGAATCCTTAGCTTCGCATGATGACTACTGTGATAATCTCCACTGTGGCCTTTCACTTTCACTATTATCGCCAGATGGTGATGGTGTTGGTTGCGATGATGACTTTGAGCAAGAAACAGTGGTCAAGAAAGGTGAAATTTTCTTGGTATTAGTTGAGTTTTCAAGAGAGATTGATCATGTTGCATTGAAGAGAGACATTAATTATCAATTGGTGTCTCTTGCTGCCGTCGTTGATTTGTGGGTTCTGTGGGTGAGGTTCAGTTATGGGGTTACTTGGCTCCACAAGTGCAGCTGACCATGACTGATGCCTGGTCCCCTGCTTTTGTACTTCTTTTTGTCCGAAATCTTTCAGATAACACCAGAATTGTGTAAGGTGTCCAGCAAGTTGGCCTTCGCGCACTAAGAAGAAAATTGCACTAGCTATTACCCGGACCATTCTTCATAATGCATGAAAATATTTTTCTTATAGCCATGTGATATCCTTGGACCAAGAGTTGTAGAATTTGACATACATTTAAGACAAGAGTTGGCAAAATTCGACATACATTATAGATTGGTTATTCTACAAGGACATAAGCATGTTAAACATAACAACTATAGGAAATTTTATTGAATTTGACAAACATCACATACATCTTGCTGACAGACCATTACAGAAGCTTGTTAAACATAACACAAGCTTCATTCCTTGACAAACATTTTGCTGAATAACTGATGAAAACAACTTCCTAGTAGTAGTAGTAGTTTCATCTTTACACCATGGTTATGTCACCTCTCTAGGGCTTGATGCTGCTTCTTATTCCCTAGCGCATCCACCATGATCTCCAATCCATCTTGCTCCACATCCATAGCAAAACTGAAGCCCACACCTGAAATTATGATCAATCTTAGAGAAGAAACAACAGCGTGCTTGCATAGGTGAATGATACAAATTCACTAAAAGCTATTTAGGATTGAAGTTTGAGGCGTTTTTCAATCTACAATGCAATGTGTAATAGATAGTTTCAAGATACTAAGCTATAAATTTCAATTTGATGCTTTACAGTAATTAATGAAAGAGAATTAATCTGACTAAACTAACCTGCAGACCATGTGAGGACAGCCTTCTGTTCTTTCCACATAGAACTTGCACTGAGGGCATCTACTCCATTTCTTGTCCTTAGCAAGTTCCCTCAACATGAGATCTTCTGTCCCTCTCTCATCTTCATTCAGTCTCTGAAACTCGTCACATTCAATCCCAGAATGCCAGGGCACATAGCACAGAGCACAGAACAATCTATGGCAGAAGGGGCACTCGGATTCTTTAATTGCTTCGCCTTCATTATCATCAATCAACAAAGCTGAACAATCCTTGAAAGGACAATAAAATCTTTGAGATGCATTAATCACCTCTTCGCATAATGCATCCTCCCAAAGATCAATCACTACCCTAGTCAGTATAGGTCTGCAGGTGTCCAAATCCAGGACAGCCCTGCAATTCAATCCAGGGCAAGTAACTATTCTAGTGCCATCTTGGACCTTGGCGGCCACATGTCTGCTTATGCAATCATTACAAAATGAGTGAACACAGCTCCCGGTTTTGAACATTTGATCATTCTCTTTTCTCTCAACACAAATCTCACAGAAACTTAAAGAAGACTCAACAGCTCCTGACTGGATGATCTCATTTTGCATAGGCTGATCAGAAATACGTAGCAATACTGGGGTTCCTTCTATCATCATCGGCGATGGGCCATTGTTTTTCATTTGAGAAACGATGACAGAACCCATCAAAACCTCCTGGAACTGCAACTCTTCTGCATATCTGTCATCTGAAACTTCAAAGATTTCTCCTCCACCTCCTCCTTCTTGTTCTTCATCAAAGAGTGCTGAGAAGTAAAAATCATCAACAAAATCAAGATCAAAGGAGGAGATGCGTTCTTGTGCCATGTTATTCGACCTTACCCTTCAGTCACTTTGCTAAACCAATCTGTATATTGTTTATGATCATGCAGCGTACATAGCAATTAGAGAGGGCATCACTTTGGCAATGCCTTCGCTTAGAAGAAGTCTCTTCTCATTGGAGACTAGCGGTGCTTACTACTTCCCCGAGGGGTTATATAACCTTTTTTGACTTCACCGACGTCTCTGTGCTTTGTTTTTTCGTTTTTCGTTTTTTTTTAATTATTGAAACTTGGTCTTTCCGTTATATCACATATTCAGACATTTTTTGCTTTCCGAAATCATGGACAATCGGTCCCTCCACTCTTAATTTTCTTCTTCTTTTTTTTAGATTAACGTGGATATTCGGGCTAGCTTGCGCGCACCACGACTAATTATAATGCAACCACCATTTTTTTTAGAGACACTGACCGTAATTGATTAACACACACACACACACACACACACACAATAAAGATCTTATCATAATTATAAAATATTTGTTTTTGTATTTGAAACTGTGATTAGATGCATTTCATAAAGATCTTATCGTAATTATAAAATATTTGTTTTTATATTTGAAACTGTGATTAGATGCATTTCAATCTTCTTCTTTGATCCCCTTCGTCATAGTTTTTTTTAATTATAATGCAACCACCATTTTTTTTAGAGACACTGACCGTAATTGATTAACACACACACACACACACACACACACAATAAAGATCTTATCATAATTATAAAATATTTGTTTTTGTATTTGAAACTGTGATTAGATGCATTTCAAAAATACATTTAATTAAAAAAGATATCAAAAAAATATATTTTTAGTGTTTTTTAATCATTTTAATGTACTATTATTAAAAATAAAAAAAATATTTTGATATATTTTAAAGTAAAAAATATTCTTAAAAAATATAATATATCTCAATACCACGCACACTTATAAAAAAAATTTCACGAATAAATTTAATCATGCAATAATGTATTTTTTTATGTGAATTCCTCTCAACAATCTTAATGATAGTAAATCATATTATTATTTGCTCCCAACAAAAAAAAACCTTGTTTACACAGTGTCATCGAGGACAAGTTTTAGATTAAAATTCCATCTCATCGCTTATGATTATGTAGCATGATATGATCATTCCATCAATTATCGTATTTATTAGTATGGTAGTTAAAGAAATGACGAGATGATTATAGAGATAAGTGGTTTAGGGATCATATTCGAACACAAATTATATTATAAGGACTAAACAGAGACATAATTGCTTATATGAGGATAAACATATACTATTTAACCCAGTCCAATTTCTTTAAGCTGAATTCAATTTTTCAAAGGTTTTTTTTTTTTAACCAGAGTTAAATAAAAAGTCCCCCATCCCTAATTAACTCAAAAACTGATTCATGAATAGTTGGATTTTGGTTTTAATGCTCCAAATTCATCTCCTTTGGAAATATATGATTAATTATGGTAATTAATTTTTCAAAATTAAATTTTGATAAAAACAAACAGGAGAAATGTTTAAATCTCAGAACCCACCCAGTTAATCACATTAATATGAAAAAATAGGGCAAGCCTCAACGAGGAAAGATGAGAAATGAGCGCACGACCCTACACCTTAACTAGAAAAGACCATGTAAAGCAAGTCGATCCATGTTCCACAAGTGGTGGACCCTCGAGGAAGGTGTCCAGGAAACGACTTCCGAAGCAAGTTCTTTATAGACATTTATAATTAAGTAGAGGTCGAGAGGCACTAGTCCGTCCATTTGTGAGAGAAGAAGATCAAGAGTAAAGACAGAGATTTTGTAATAATACGTTAATAGCATGGCAATAGAACCAGCCTTTGATCGTCTTAACGTGAATGACGGTTACTCTCCATCTTTCTCGTACAAAATTGAATCAGAAGGTGAGATCTTGCTAGATACTAAATTTGCTGAAGAGTTACACTTCCAAGGGGCTCTAATGGCTTCTTTGATCAGTTGTCAAATGGCAAGCAATGTGTCATTATCAACTCCGTCCAGGACCCATATGGAAGCAATTTCAGAGCACGAGGTTGAACCATCACTGCAAGTGCATGAAAAGGGTGAATCATCTTGGCGTTCCTGTGACATTTGCCTGGAAAGGAAAGAAACTGATCAGATCGTAAAGAATGAGAGCTCTGTTCGGATATTTTGCTTAGGCTGCAGGTCAGTATGATCTAAATATGAGAGTTTCCTACAGTAAATACTTTGTTATATGAGCTTGTTGATGGTGTTACCAAATTAAGCTTTCTACATGCCAACAGGCCTTTAGTCTTAACTGTGTAAAGTATTGAGGAGACCTGACTACTTTACTGATAAACTGAATGAATTCCGGAAGAGGATGCTTCTTAAGATCTCCACATTTATTCAGCAAAAATTTACATAAAGGGAAAGAGATAAATGATTTTTTTTTTTTTTTGCTACTATAAAAAAGAGTGATTTACTGAAGTTCAGGCTCTTTTTCCGCTGGATGTTCAGTTAGGCAGAATTTTCTTTAAATTTTTGTTTTCTCAAACAGGAAAGTTTGTCATTACTTGTAGTTTGTTTCATAGGCAGCTATGTTTTAAAATTCGACTAATTTACAACAACTGTGCAGAAAAACTATTAAACTGTCAGAAAATCATTGGTCATGCAGCAAGGAGTTGGGTATGGACATGAGTTCTAGAAATGACACTGGCAAGTCCCTCACTGCCGATGCCAGTGGCAGCAATAATAATCCAACTCCCAAGACTGAAACTGACCCACATGATCATGGTGCGGCGAAAATTATTAGTCTCAATTCTGCACAAGATGAGTATAGCAAAATAACTGAAAGCATAGCTGCAAAACAGGAGGGTACACCACAGAGTCCCCATACTAGAGCACAGGAAGACAAAGGTGTGGATCAGAATTCAGACATTCCACTTAATGTTTGTTCGGAATTGCTGGTCAGCAGAGGCAATGGAGGTCCACGACCAACCTCCAGCTGTTTCAAGAACATTGATTCACAATTTGTAGACTGCCCACCTGTGGGCCGTATAATGAATGGGGGAGGATGTATTGATTCAGTTTCAACTTCAAGAAAGGGTTCAGAAGATGGCCACAAAGAAAGGGTTGCAAATGACATTCAAAATAATGTTACTGCTGCTCTTGATTATCACGGTGACTCTCATGCATTGAATGTTAACCAGAAGAGCAGATTGTTCAAGGAATTGGCACCTGAGTATGCCAATAAACCTATTGAGCAGTTTTACTGTCCTGCATGCACAGAAGTTTCCGGTGCCATCAAATGGTACCAAGGCCTGCCGGCCCTGATATCACCTGCCAAAGCCACTGAAGAACGGGGTAAACTCCACCGGAAACTCGCACATCTGTTGACAACGAACTTCAGCAAAAAGGGAACTTCTGAAAGTTCTGCTAGTGAAGTGTTGAGCAAATGGAAAGGTCTAAATGATGAGAAGAAAGATCATGAAATTGTTTGCCCTCCTATGGTTGTTGTCAGGAATACAGCAAGCCTTAAAAAAGACGAGAACAATAAGGTAC